GGCGCCGGACGGCACTTACCCGGGGGGTGCGGGATGACCTCCCCAGCGTAGTCCGAGCTGCCGCAGGAGCTGTTGCTCGATGTTGAACTCACGCGCCCTGGGGACGAGATTGGGGCCATCAGAGCCATCCCTCCCCAGCCCTGGGCACGTCCCGCCGCTGCCACGCCACGAGACCCGACCCGACGCCTGGCATGCTCTGGCTGCCCCGCATGCATGACTTACTCCCATCACCAGCTCTACCTCGCTCCAGTACTTGCCTAGCTTTAACACCAAGCCAAAAAAACACTAGCAAGGAAACACTGGTGAGATTAGAAGCTGGCCAGTGTCAGATACCAGAAAAGCACCAGTGCAGAAAAAAAAAACTTCCACTCCAAGGACGTTATTTAATGGCCTTGCACTTGCATGCAGCACTTGAAGCTGCTACCAATGCCCCAAGGCCAAGAGGATGCAAATTCCCGCATATAATCTGCGCATAATCCACGCAGTTTTAGTCTGACTGCCAAAAGCCTGTTACCAGTTCCAGCTCAAGGGGAGTATTTTACCTCCTTCTGGTTAGGCAACTTATTAAACCAGAAAGTCTCTCCCCTGGAGAGGCACCAGTAGCTGCTGTTCCCCAGACTGGTTCTGCAGCTTCTCGGGAGACCTCATTTCCCCAGCAATAGCTGCGTTCTCAGCTGTCCCCTCCCCACACCTCCAACCTCAACAAGAAGCAAAGGACTTTGCTGCAAGACCCACGTCCACCTGACAGAGAGCAAAGCCCTCGCAGGGCTGAAAGCACAAATCTGAGTTCAGTCTCATCTTTGCAGCAGCAGCGTCTCGAAGGAGCCCGGCAGAGCAAACTGCCCCCTTCTCTGCATGGCACCGGCTCTGCATCCCCCCCCGGACCCAGAGCGGTCGCTCTTACTTCTGTAGTAGTTGTGCGTGGCCATGAGTGAGCCGCTCAGCGGGATTGCTGCCATGTCTCTCAGCGTGGGTCTTCTGCAAATCTTAAACCTGTAAGAAAAGGGACAGCAGTCAAGGTTGTGCTTCAGGATGGAGCTGACGAAAACCTGCCGCCCCAAGCAACACAAGAGAAAGCTGCAAGACAGCTGAAATAGCACCAGCTAATATGATTTCTCCTGCAAGAGATTTGATACTCATGATCTTCAAAGCAACGCTGCCTTCTGTACAGACCTTAATACTTACAGGGCTACCTGCAGTTTTAATCTGCTGCTGGAAAGCTCGAGCTCAAGAGCCAAAGGCTAAGCTAGAATAACTCCCTCAAAAACAACGGCTTGCGCAGAGGGGAGAGACCTGGCACGTCCACGAGCAACTCCTTCCTGAACGGGAGGCGGCTGTTTGGCCTCTCTGCAGAAGCGCAGTTACTTGCGCTGCATCAACAACCCAGAGCCATGAAGTCGCCATAGGACGTTGCATAAGC